CTAACTGAAGCATGGGTTAATTTGAAAGCGTGCTACAGCGAGATAGCGTTTAACTGACTCCTAAGAGGTATGTTTGAATATCTGTGTTGGCATCATATGCTTGCATTATCTTTCATAAAAAAGGAATTTGCAAATGTCTCTCTCTGGCTAGTGACTCGTTCACAACAGAGTTGCAACGTCGTTTCATTCAAAGTTTTTTCAAACTTCAAGACTTACTTATGTGTTGCATTAGAATTATCATTCTCATAATAAACATTCTTCTGCATACAAAAAAAACTGATCGACATCAAGTAAGTTTACACAATGAACAATCGGTAAAGAGCTCAATCTTGTCAGAGAAGAGAGGCTTGAATACCCTGTTGAAGCAAGAGTCAGCTGCTACAAGAGAAATGACTTATCCAGCAGAATGTTAACGGGTGATTCTGTCAAGAGAAATCATCTTGGTACTTCACAATCTGAGTACCCTTCAGGGATAAAGCTAGCAGATTCCATCAATCTGGGGCATTCCCTTTAAACTGCCAATCTGGGGCAATCAAGTCGAGAATCGATCTCTCCAAGCTCAGCCAAATCTGGGGCATTCCTTCAATGTTATCAATCAGAGGTTATCACGGCAATAAATCTCTTCAAGCTCGATCAATCAGAGGCTATCACGTCGAGAGATCTATCCAAAGTCATTCAACATGGGGCAGTTACGTCGAGATTCGACAAATCTCTCCAAGAAAGCTGTAATCAAGAGCAGTTTATTTCGTAGCTCAAGACATTGGGGCAGGCCACCTCATATCGTATTGTGGCGCGAATATTCTGGTATCCTATTTAACATAGATCTTCTCAGAGACCCTCCAGACAGGGGCATTCCTCATCCGTACTTAGTTGCTCAAGTCAATTATGTTGTATGAGACGAATCAAGCTAAAAGCACCATAACAGTCACCCTGACCTAGCCAGCACATGAAACTGCCTCCATCTACTACAGATAATTTCAAATCTGATTCCCCAAGTGCATTCAGAAAGTTCAGAATCATCTTTTGACTCAGCACGCGTAAGTGCATCCTCAGTGGAGCTAATCAAGAACATCCCCAATGAATCTGAACCGGGGCATTCGCAGAGCTAAACCGGGGCACTCGTAGGTGTCCATTCCCATCTCTTATCCCCAAGTGATTCAAGAGACAATTCCCTAGTGTGCGTAAACTTGGAGCATGTATTCGAAGGGATCCACATGATGTTCAATATCCATCCTTCGGCATATTCACTTCTATCACTCCCCCAACAGTTCAGGATGTTTGGAAGTCTGGCCAGGTTATCTCTTCCCAACGGTATGATTCAGAATCCAGCATCGTACTTGAAGACTCGTTTCGTCGGCAACTTAATATCCAACAGAGTCATCAACAATCTTCGGTATCATGGGCTCCCCAGTGCAAATTTTTATTGGTACCCCATCAATCTTTGGTACTGCGGACTTCCAAGTGTCGATGTATACTGACATCCCCAGTGATGAGCAATGGCTCCCAGCAAGCCTTCTTTTATCCCCCATGAAGTTTATTTCTTCGCATTGCATATAGTTATCATTACATAACATTGCATCCTCAAAAGCGCGTAGCTGATCCATCAGAGTGGATCTTTGCGTCAAAAGAAATTCAAACATGCATACAAAGCATAAGCCAGATCAGGTACCTTACACGAAAGACCTGAATTATTCAAGGACAACAATACATCCCTACAGAAGGATATCATGCCCAAAGTCCCCAGTCGGTGACCTTCACCTTTTCAATGCCAAACATAACCAATACACTTTGCCGTTCTAAACCCAGTTCTTGTCTGGTAGTCGGTTCCCTAAACATTCGTCCGTGTCCATCCCTAAACACTCGTCCGTGTCCATTCCTAAGCACTCGTATGTGTCAAGTTTCCTAAACACCCACCCGGGTCAGTTATTCAAACACTCGTCCGTGTTTATACTTTTGGATACCCGCCTGTATCTTCTTTCAATACTCGTCCGTATTGAATCAAACACTCGTCCGTGTTTAACCTTGGATACTCGTCCGTATCTTCTTTCAATACTCGTTCGTATTGATTCAAACACTCGTCCGTGTTTAAACTTTCTTGATGCTCATCCGTGTCGCTTATCTAAACAATCGTCATATCATAACCCATGTTTTCGTCGTCGAACCTGAGATCGCCTCTTGGCTAGGTTCTTCCTTCAAATCACCGTCGAACCTGAGATCGCCTCTTGGCTAGGTTCTTCCTTCAAATCATCGTCGAACCTGAGATCGCCTCTTGGCTAGGTTCTTCCTTCAAATCACCGTCGAACCCGAGATCGCCTCTTGGCTAGGTTCTTCCTTCAAATCATCGTCGAACCTGAGATCGCCTCTTGGCTAGGTTCTTCCTTCAAATCTTTGTCGAACCTGAGATCGCCTCTTGGCTAGGTTCTTCCCTCAAATCACCGTCGAACCTGAGATCGCCTCTTGGCTAGGTTCTTCCCTCAAATCACCGTCGAACCTGAGATCGCCTCTTGGCTAGGTTCTTCCTTCAAATCTTTGTCGAACCTGAGATCGCCTCTTGGCTAGGTTCTTCCCTCAAACCTTTGTCGAACCTGAGATCGCCTCTTGGCTAGGTTCTTCCTTCAAACCTTTGTCGAACCTGAGATTGCCTCTTGGCTAGGTTCCTCCTTCAAATCATCGTCGAACCTGAGATCTCCTCTTGGCTAGGTTCTTCCTTCAAATCATCGTCGAACCTGAGATCGCATATTGGCTAGGTTCTTCCTTCAAATCATCGTCGAACCTGAGATCGCCTATTGGCTAGGTTCTTCCTTCAAATCATCGTCGAACCTGAGATCGCCTCTTGGCTAGGTTCTTCCTTCAAATCATCGTCGAACCTGAGATCGCCCTTTGGCTAGGTTCTCTGTCAAATCACTCTCATGTGTCACCCTCGGTTCGTAGGTCGCCCGTAGACCTCGTATGCTGTCTTTTCATACCAACCATTTGTCTTGTATTGGCATCAAGCCATGTTACAAGTCCAATCCCTGTCTCTTCATTGAAAAAAAAACAACAAATTTCTTTTCCCCAGCAGATCACAAAATAAATAAATAAAGAAAACACTTACACTATCTCCCAGAACAAATTTTTGGCATTGGTATTTAATCATCTTCAACCTTGAACTTCCGAAAGGCACGCGCCAATCGTACTTTCAGGTTTAAGACGATTAAATAGGGGCAGCTGTAATACCCCAAATTTGTCCTACCCTTTTACTTCATATCTGGCTTACGCACTTTTGCATTTTTCTCACATTTGGTCATCTAACACATCATGCATCATTAATCAATAAATTGGCATGAGATCATGGATTTCGAGGAATAAGGGTTGGTGTATGGCTTTAAGGCTCCCATCTTCGCACAAGCTTGTTTCGGTTGATTTCTCCATTAATAATCTGTTTGAAGCTAGGTTTTCATTTCATGGACCTTATCATCATCAAGCTACGATGCTATTCTTTTCTTCTCAATGTCAAGTTGCAAGGTTTTATGAGACGAAGCTAAAAATCAGGGTTTATACATTTTCATATTTGAGCTTGTCATCATTCTACCTGAGGTTCATTCCATATCAAGGTATTCGCATGTCTCATCTTTCATATTCATCTGCAAAGAATCCCTCAGGGCATAGTCATTATCATCTATTGAGAAGGGGTCCAAGACGTCGTTATTCTAGTGCTCATATAATCGGGACATGGTACAAGATGTTGATTGTGATCAAGGTGTCGTTATTTCAAATGTTTATTGCTTGACACACAAGTTTGGTTTATACTGAGGAATTGAATTGAATTAGGGGTTCACTGAAGTTGTGGTTTGATTAGAATTCATTCATCAATATTTGAAGTGGATTTGGAGAAAATCAAAGTTCTTAAATATTTGCGTGGCTTTTCTTGGAATTCAAACCACAAATATGAAAAAGCATGCTTCAAATTCATCCAACCATCAAAATATTGTCCAAATATCCTCTCTTGGATTCATTCAAGATTCATGTCTCTTTTGGTTGCCTTGCAAATATTTTGGATTAATACCATTTATTTGAATTCATACAAAGGCCATTTCATTATGTGGAAATAAAGTCAACATACATTCCAATGTGTATTCAAATACATACAAGTCCAAATTCCATTACAATTATTCAAATACATACAAATCCAAATTCCATTACAATTATACATAACATCTATGCATTTTTACCAAAACCTATCCTAATTCTCAATCATTCTTCATGTTTCGAACTTCAAGCTTCCAAAACTTCATGTTATGCGTCTTTGTTCCAACTTCATAGCATCTTGGTGTTTTCCTTTTGCCTTTGCTTCCCAATAGCCTTGATATGAACTAAACCTGCAAAAATATTGGATAAACTGTCATAAGATTGAACCGCATACACTACACTTCCAATTACCAAAAATTCCTAACTGTATCCAACCTCCTAACCAACTGCCACATAAACCTCACAACTAACCTTTTCCCTAACTTCTAACAGCATAACCAACCAAAACTGATATAACAACAAACTGCATCTTAACTTCCAAAAACAGAATTTCTGTTAACCGCCCTGCTAACCTCCTAACTAATTTCTAACATTATCCTAATAGAATTACAAAGTCCATAAACAACCACTAACTTATTAAAATCCCACCCTTCAATTCTCTAACTGAAAATCTCCTTCCAACAGTTCAGATCCAATCATTTGTAACCAACTATTTCCTAATCTAACAGAATATATACTCAGATTTACCTGCAAGCATTTGATTCTAAAAAAAAACTCTTAGAAGAATCACCAAGAAAAAGCTCTTCAATATTCTCTGTAATTCCCCATCAATCTTCAATCATTCTTCAACTCTTTGAAAGAATCACCAAAAACCATCAAATTCTCTCTGCTCCATAGTCACCATTCTTCATATTTCGGAGAAAATCACCACAAAACCTCTAACAAAAGTCCTCTGCAATCTCTCTTCAACTCTCTCTGAGTTCTTCTATAATTCAATCATTATCACAATCCATGTAGATCCTCCGTCTTCGCTCTTCAATCACCACCTTCATCAATATCAATGCATCCTCATCTGTGTTTAACAATGAAAATGCACAATTTCAGTATCAACGGAATTTGCAAGAACGAGTTATAATCACAGTAAACGCAACAACATCTCGGAGGTCAAACCTGAGGGATTGAAAAAGAAATCGAATAGAAGAAGAACATGAAAAACTGTAAAGAGTGATGTGCATACTTGAAGATTCTGACTCAGTGCGAATGTCATCGAAACCTCACCGGCGAATCCGTTTCTACCAACCTTCATTATCTCAGATCGCGTCTTGATTGTATGGATATACATCGATTCAAGGAGTCCTCAATGTTTTGGCTCGTGTTGAAATTCAGGTAAGTTGTTTGTTTTTGTGCCATCCAGAAATCGCGAGGAAGAAGCGGAAATGGGTTGATGATGATGGCGAGGTGAGCTGTCGTGGACGAAGGTTGAACCGCGAGTGCAGTCGGATTCAACGAAGATGATTCACGGTCATTGGAGATGGAGATCAGCAGAGCAAACTGCGAGTCTGAATGTTGAAATGTGTGAAAAACTCGAAGAGGAGATTGAAGTGCGACACAGACAAAGACAGATCGCGGCAGTGTTGTATCGCAAATGAGAGAAGACGGAGCAACTCAGGCGAAGGCCGGCGGCACCACCGCCGCTTGCAAGAAAAGAAGAAGACTTTTTTTTCTCTAACCCTAACCCTTTTCCAATTTCATACGTCCTTTCTTTTTAGTTTTTGTCTTATTGTTTTATTTACTTAATTCAAATTAATAATAATTATAATTAAGTAAATAATAAATAAAATATTGAAAATCTTTTTGGGCAAATTACTTCAACACCCACATTTCTAGACTTCATACCCCCTAACTCTTCTAATTTTTCCTTTTTATTATTTTAATTTTTCTCTTTTAGTTTAATTTTTTCCCTCTCAATTGACAATAAAAATAATAGAATATTTTAGAATATAATTTCTTTTTAGGATTTTGATTAGAATTTTTTCTATTTTATTTTCATATTCGATGATCATTTTTATTGCCATTTTCTAGTCAAGACTTTTTGTAGCGTCGACATAACTCTTGCAATGTGGAATGCTTGGGGTGAACTCTTCAATCACTTGCCCAAGGGAACTTTGATAGAATTTTCTTACCGCTTGCACAATTTTGAAAAGGCAACGGACCTTCTCCGTTCGGTATCGTCACAACCCTATTTCATCCTTCATTTCGGTATTTTATCGCAATTCAAACATGCTGACATTAGGTAGAATTCCCTCATTCATTCTAACTTTAGGTCTAACAATACGCAATAACATTAGGTTTAGAAATAGGCTAATTCCCCTCTAACTTTTCTTTCCCTTTTGCATATGCATCTAAAACTAAAACTTTTTTTCTTTTCGAAATTCAAAACACTTTAAAACTATTGATGAGAATCATGCTTTTGCTTAGTACGAGAAATGATAAGCGGGTCTCTTCCCGATCTTATTGTTCTTCATCTCAAGCTTAGGTGTGGTTCAATTCTCAAAAACTCCTTTCATGGCTAAGTAGAAAAATGGCTAATATCTCTCTCTTGAGGTCAATCAGTCAACATCTACAACAAAAATACAAAACAAATTCAAATCTTTTTTGCGCTCGAGCACCTTTCATTAAAAGGAAAACCTTTTCAGATAAGGACATGATTAATTTACTTCTGTGCCAATGCATAAGTCTCCAAAGGTCGAGTCGCGGCAGAAGGCGGAATTAACTTCGTCCACAAAAATATCTACAACGAAAATATAAACCAAATCAAATCTTTCGTGCGCTCGAACACCTTTTATTTAAAAAAAAAACCTTTTCAGGTAAGGACATGATTAATTTACTTTTGTGCCAACGCATAAGTCTCCAAAGGTCGAGCTGCGGCAGAAGGCGGGATTAACTTCGTCCATAAAAGACACAAACAAACAAAAACATGTGAGCCGAACTACGGTAGCTCTGATTCCTCAAAAAGGATACGTAGGCATTGGGGTAGGGCCCAGGCGAGCACAATTTTATTTTCCCTACATTCTTTTCCCCTTTCTTTTGCATGCATTCCTCCAGCAGTATAGTAAGCAGTAAGCATAGATTAAACACATCCATAAGATAGATAACAAGAGTGGATACCGTAGAGTACTACGGGCGTGTGGGGTGCTAATACCTTCCCCTCGCGTAACCGACTCCCTTACCCGATCTCTCGGTCGCAAGACCGTGACTTCTCCCTCATCAGGTTTTCTCGATGTTTACCTTTCCCTACATATGGGATAAAAGACGTTTGATGGCGACTTCATTGTTTTGATGATTTTCAGCCGGTTGTTTCACCAGCCAACGATAAGTATAGGCATCTGGAAGAACGGTTAAGTGCAATGGAAATCCAAAAAGTGCCTGGATTGGACTTTGAGGAATTGGGGTTAGTATCTGGGATTGTCATTCCTCCAAAATTCAAAGCACCGGTGTTCGCCAAATATGATGGAGTTTCATGTCCCAAAATGCATCTTCGGTCCTATGTGAGGAAAATACAGCCTCACACCGCTGACAAGGATTTATGGGTACACTTCTTTCAAGACAGTCAGTCTGGAACTCAACTTGATTGGTTTTATCAGCTAGAAAGAGCCAATGTTCATAATTGAGAAGATTTGGCCGCTGCCTTTTACAAACAATACCAATACAACGCTGATCTTGCTCCCACCCGTACTCAAATCCAGAGTATGGCCATGGTTTCAATTGAAGGCTTTAAAGACTATGCACAAAAATGGAGGGACTTAGCAGGAAGAGTCCAGCCTCCCCTATCTGAAAGAGAGTTAGTAGATATGTTTTTGGGCACCTTGTCTGATCCTTTCTTCAATCACTTAATTGGGAGTTCATCAGTAGGTTTTATCGAATTGATATTGACCGGAGAAAGGGTGGAAGCCGGGATAAAGAATGGGAAGATTCAAAAAGATGCATCCTCTGCTGCTGTAAGGAAACCTTTTATTAGAAAGAAAGAAGTGGTTGATGTATATCCTCGGAGAAATCAAGATAGGGCTGAACGTCGTCCAATGGTGGGGGTTGTCATGATTCCTAAACCTGCGCCTACTCAGCAAAGAAGCAACCAGTCAAGAACAGAAAGACCAGTCAGACAGTTCACCCAAATTAACATGACACTATCTCAAGTATTGCCACATTTGTTGAGATCCAATCTAGTGACTTTGAAAGAAGCTCCAAATAATCCTAACACAACCTCTCCTCATTATCATCCTAATGCCCGCTGTGCATACCATTCTGAGAGTCCCGACCATGACACTAACAACAGTTGGGCTCTGAAAAACAAAGTACAAGACCTTCTTGAAGCCAAAGAGGTTGAATTTGATGCGCCAGAAATTCCCAATGTAATCATTGCCCCTATGCCCAAGCACGGTCGTGATGTCAACACCGTTGAGGAAGATATGTTTGTTACTTGGATTGATGAACTTGTGATCCCACTCCTGACTATCAAAAAGAACTTGTTGAATGCCGGTGTATTCCCAGGCTGTGATGAAAGTTGTCATTTCTGTTTATCCTCACCAACCAGTTGTCATTTGTTAAAAGCAGACATTCAATGCCTAATAGATGACAAGGAGATTTTGTTTGAGAAGACTTCTACTCCAACTGTTTCTTATAATGATATTTCCATAGTGACCATTTCTGACAATTCTTCTCGGGTCTCCACCAAAAGACCGGTTAGAATTACATTAATTCCTAAAGTAGCTCCGTTGATAATTACAATGCCTGGACCAATCCCGTATTCGTTAGACAAAACCGTCCCATGGAATTATGGAGGTGATGTCTACTATCACGGTATCAAGCAAGATTGGCCAGCTGCTGAAAATTCAAGTTCTGAGAAAGTTGACTCTGGTATCAGTAATATCGCAGGGACTAGTAAGATAACCCGAAGTGGAAGGGTTTTATCTCCAGAAATTTCTCGTCCAAAAGCTGTTTCTAGACCTATAGTCATTCCTGTTGTTTTTTCTCCTCCAAAAGCTATTCTCGGTCCTGCAATCATCTATGCTAATACTCCTGTTGACAAAACTATTACAATCCCTGTTATCACCCCTACTGACATTCTTGCTGCCGAGTCAACCGAGACTCGAGGTAAAGGTATCCTGGTTGAGCCTGTCCGAACGAAGGCATAATCAATAGCTATCCCTAAGACCTCCCAAAAAGAGATGGAGGAAATTCTAAAGATCATAAAAAGAAGCGACTACAACATAGTCGAGCAACTGGGGCAAACTTCATCAAAAATTTCCATGTTGGCTTAATTGTTATGTTCTGAGGCTCATGCAAAGGCCTTGGTAAAATTCCTTAAAACTGCCCATGTACCTCAAGAAACATTTGCCGATCAGTTCCAAGACTGCGTAGCCAGCTTGACCACAGATAATGGTTTAGGTTTTTCGGATGCTAATTTAACACCAAGGGGGAGGAAGCATAACGAGGCATTGCATGTATCAGTCGAATGCAGGGGCACAACCTTGGCTCATGTCTTGGTGGATACCGGTTCGTCTCTGAATGTGTTGCCTAAAAAAGCTCTTGATAGGCTTGAATGTGAAGGATTGACCTTGAAACCTAGAAACATAGTAGTGAGGGCCTTCGACGGCTCAAAAAGGATGGTGCATGGGGAAGTAGACATCCCTATAAAAGTTGGAACCCAAACTTTTGATTCAAATTTTTATGTAATGCATATTCTCCCTTCATATTCCTGCTTATTAGGCCGACCGTGGATTCACAATGCTGGTGCTGTTACCTTTACATTGCATTAAATGCTGAAATATCTGATTCAGGGGAAAATCATCTCGTTCATGGAGAAGAAGAGTATATGGTCAGTCATCTAAATTCCTTCAGGTATGTGGAATTAGATGGTGAATTTATTGAAACTCCATTCCAACACTTTGAAGAAGTCCCGTAGACTGTGGCAGTAACCAAGGCAGTGTCTCAAGTCCCCAAGATTACAAGGCCTCCGCTCAAGATGTCATCTTTGAAAGATGCCAAGGTAGTGATAGAAGAAGGTGGGTGCACTATTTGGGGCCAACTCCCAGATATCCCATACAAATCTGACAAATTTGATTTGGGTTTCACTTCAGGAGCACAGAAAGTTGTACGCCGTGCTCGTGCCGGAGGACCACTCTTGAAGATCAGCAACCACGGAGTCAACGCCGTAGAGGATGATGAAGACTACTATAACCTGGAGGATTGGATTTTCCCAACTGTCAGTGGAGGGCTCAGCAACTGGGAGGCTAGAGATTTTGTCCC